TTGTATTGCTTTGCTGAGGGGGCACTTTGGATCTGCCACTGATTAGTAAACTTAAATATCAAATAATTACAACAATAATAATTTGAAAAAAAGATCTAAATAATTAGATATCGCAGTGACATTCGAGAACATTAATCACAACAGATGAATGAAAATGGCAAATGTGATAACGATTTTTATACCATAATGTGTGACCCAGAACCGAGGAAATATTTACAACAGGGAGACCCCAAGAGATATTTGAGATTACTTGAATATCGGTTTTCCTTTACAAAATCACTTCGGGCCCTTGTAATATCCTTAGTGTAATATTTTACTGTAATTACCACATCACATTAGTATTCATAATGTGTGTTAACGACCGGGTTCCAAATATTGAAATGGCGTATAACATAAATGGCATATTTATATTAATTGATTGTTTAAGCAAATGAAAACGTCAATTAAGACCTAGGTGCTGGGAACCTACAAAGACAAGAGAGTATAATCTGGGTAGAGGTGATATGAAGGGGAATTTTAAAAATCGCAATGCAAGGCACGCAATGAAGCTTCTTATATTAGACGCTTCCTATGAAGACGATACCAAAGCAGTAATTACTTGTCTTGCATCACACAATCATTATTTTTACCATTTATAGTTTTGTCACATTTCTCTGGGAATAGTTGTAAATGCGATGCGTATCCATGAAACTAGTAAATAAAAGTTAAAACAAAAAAACAAAAAGAGATTTAGGGTGTGATTCCAGTTGGGGAAATTAAACTTATATATTATGAGCATTGGTGTTTTGTAGAAAAAGAATATAAAAATAACATGATGTCTATCAGTGTTTCATTTCGCTTTATCATGTTCATCAGTTCTCATATGCTTTATATATATATATATATATATATATATATATATATATATATATATATATATATATATATATATATATATATATATATATATATATATATATATATATATATATATATATATATATATATAGTTAATTAAGATATATGAAATGCTCATTATACTTCATTGTTCTTTGAGGAAGCACAGCAGCAATTCATGAATGAAAGTTATGAATAAGTAAATAAAACACACTGACCTTCTAATTTCAAACTTTATTTAAACAGCACAGACCATGTTTACGTTTTACAGTAAGAAAATATAGTTTTACAGCTCAAGAACAGACCACTTTCCTGTAACTAACTTTGAATTGTCCTGTGAGACAAACGTTTTATATATTTATGTATTTATTTATTTTTTATTTTTTTTATTATTTTACTTTTTAATCTTATTGTTACAATCCAACACGATAATCAAGAAAGAATTCTATTATTGACTGTAAAAGGTTTTCCTCCCTGCTCATTTAATCTCATACTCCTGTGAGTGTACACTTGTGTTGTTGTTTTACTCTCTCAAATTACTACTAAAATGCTAATGTATTATTGTTCCCAATTCCATCTCATGAAACAAGTATGCCGTTTGCAGTTGAATATATGACAGGTAAGAGGATACAAGAATATATATATTTTCTTTAAAATTCAATGGAGGTGTTTCATTTCGTTCCCTTTTGTTTTATGGTAATACTGACAAGATACAATAGTGAATCGTTATAAAAAGTGGGATTAGAGTTGAAAGTAATACATAGAAAATTTCCAGCGAAAGATGGAAAATTCGAAGGGTTTCGGAAAACAAAATAAAAACTATTGAACATTTGATCTTTGTTCAAGCCAGATCGAACTATCTGCCATGAACTGCATGTAGTTTTAAAAAATCAATTTACACTATCTATCCTGCCAGAAAGTACATGTATGTATGCAATGTATGTGTATGTGTATACACACACACACATACGGACATACATATTTATAATGCACTGCATGAACCACTCATGTCAACTTCAACCTTCAAATCCCAAAATAGGTAAAACAGTTACTTTACATTTTTTTTTTTCGAAGATTGTTATTTTGCTCATGAGTAATTCATATATATATATATATATATATATATATATATATAATATATATATATATATATATATATATATATAATGCTGTATAATTTGTGGTAAAGTACAAACCTTAGACATCCTGATCAGTGAGATGAGTGGATTTCTACCACAATAAAAAAAAAATAAATAAATGACACTGGCCTTGGTAGGTTGTTTCCAAACGCTTAATTTCACATTTCATTGCATTCTGGCTAGTTCCACTGGTTACTGGTGCAGCCACTCGATTAACAAAACACAATAAAATAATTTAGATTAAGTTGGGGGTGTTGTTTAACGCAAATGTCTGTTTAATTGTCGTTACCTTACTGTCTCTTTCGACTCAAGATTTCCTAGAAGAATGAGCACTATTACCCCCAACTTACCTATTTCAGCATTGAGCAGCGCCAGTTCATCTGGCAATACGTTTGTTTAGGTATATATATATAATCCAATTATAAATAAAGTAATTGGTTCTAAGCTCTAATACTAAATATAGTTCACAGAACTTATGCCAAGAACAGGCAGATGAGGTTGCTATTTTTAGAGGGACTTGCTGATCACCTCGAACCAAAGACGGGTTTTCACGCCGTAGATTTGTGGCCTCGGAGACAGCAAGTCTTCGTAGTCTCAAGTGAGGAGATTGATAACAGTGTTTTGACAGTAATACAACAGCTAATTATTCTCTTGCTGACATCAATACAACTTTTGAATGCCCTCATATCTTGGCAAGAATTTGGTAAATACTAAAAAACAATGGAGAGAGACCAAAGAAAGAACAAAAATAGCAACTATCTCATTCAGACTGAGAGATATATAAAAATTATCCTTAAATCAAGAAGAGAAAAAAAAAGAAAACTAAACTCCATTTTCGTAAAGAAATGGAAGACAATAGCAAATCGATAACATGGTTTCTCCCCTATGAAATGTGTTGTGCATGAGCTGAACAATCAACATGGATATGAAAAAATACATAAAGTGAATGTACATGGCTTTGAATATGACGGCTTATTAAAAAAAGAAGAAAAAAACAGGAAACAAAAATATCTACTGGATGTGAATGGCTGAAGCGAGACAATGGAATGCTAAAAAAAAACCTTAGCCCTTGTTGAACTCACCCAACTGCTTGTCAGGTGGTTCAAAATGAGCTCGTCGACCCTGTGGTGCTGTGGCTGCGTCGATGAAATAATGAATGATTCCGTTTACAAGATCAACAAAGATTCTCGAATCCCAGAAACCAAAGGAATCGGGATTATTTTCATTTTTAAAAAATACAAAAGGAGTATAATCAAATTCATTTCTTTCCTAAAAAGCAAGTCATTAGTAGTTATCTACTTATATATACACGTATAGATTTGTACATGAAAACAAAGGCAATAAAAACTGGATTATGCTTATGCCTTCACTTTTTTTTTTTACAGAATAAAATGTGAAATATAAAATAATGATAAAAGTAATGAAAAGAATCTGTCTTCGGTGACTCAGTTTGTAAGTGGCAAAAGAAATTTTGTCTAAGATCTTACCAATGTTGAATCTAAAGACCAAGATGTTCCTGCGCAAAACTAATATCGTTTTCAGCTCAATTCTAATTCCTCTAAGTCACAAGTTTGAGTCGAATAAAGAACCCATTGTCCTAGCAAAGAAGAGAATATCAACAATTCCTACGTCTCTTTTCTTAAATGCTAAACCGATACTAATATAAGATATTCTCTATGATTTTCAGTGAATAGATCTACAGACACCGCAAGACAGTAAATAATTTCTTCAAACTATAACTAATATTGTGATAAAATTTCCCTCCTTCCATCCTTCCAGCCTGTACTTGAAGCAGGCCTCGAGCATCACAGATTTATCCTATTCACTACTTACACCTATGCCTATACTAATGGTATGTTCTTATGTATGCCTGTTATAATGATTCACAATGACATCTACGAAAATAGACAACAAGACGATGAATCGATGAGTCCTGACGATGAGAATATGCGCAGATAAACAATGATGATTACAACAGATCCATGAAGGCAAAGAAAAGACGACAACCTTGGCCGCTTTTAGCCTACCATGAGTTCTCGACTGTAGGCGTATTCGAGTTAGCAGTGGAGACCCTTTTCGAAATTCAATGTAATTAACATAACTTTTACTCGAATGTTTTCTTTTTAGTCTCTTATACTTCTTTTCCTTATTTGTTTTTTCTCTTCTAGTATGTCAGCCTCGTTGTTTTGATCTTGAAAGGCTGCCTTTTAGCTAATCTTCGTGCGTTTAATTCGATTATCTATTTGTATTCATTTCTTATTTTTCTAAAAATTCGTTTGAGGAGACAAGCGAATTATAAGGGCGGCAAGGGCGAGATGCTGCACGCAACAAGTTTCAAACACTAGTTGTGCTTTTTTCTGTATAAACATACAATTCTTGTAGGTTGAATATCTTAGCAAGACCCAAATACATTACGAAACGAACGAAATGCTTGAGGATTACATTTTTTTAAATGGGTATTTTGTATTCCCTACAAGATGCGATTTACGTATATATTGTATAGATTTCTGCTTGTTCCATTTCTATTCATGTATTAGATACTACGTCATAACACTGCAGTGAGCAAAAGACGTATCTTGGAATCCCGAAGTTGTTATCAAAAAGGGTCTTGGAGTGCAGCACACTGCCTCCATTACTCAACATCTATCGTATGCTTGTAAGTCTAAACAGCACAGAACTATCTGCCATGAACTGCCATTCAGAAACGCCTCGGCCATACGGCTGCTCTTGACTAAGAGCAAGAATCAACGGCATTTTCAGTCCACATTCTATCTTGATGTTAGAAATCCCTGTCCTTGTTGTGAAGTCTCCAATTCGTTCCCTCACCAAACGTGTCCTGTTGACCATCCATCCCAACCCCAAAATACAATCTGGATTTACCACAGGATGCTGCCGTCAGACACAGGAATACCAACTTCACCCCTTTCGGCTGACTTTCTTGGAAGAGGGGGGATTTATGCGTTCTCGGTGAGGGGATCCATTGTCATCGTCTTTTTGTACTCGATGTGAGGATTGTCCTCCCAGTCTTCGGCCCTCAGGTGGTGTGCCTTGAGAATGGGGCGGGTTGACGCAATCCATTTCTGCAATGGGGGAAAGGGTTATTTCTATCTTGCACAAGCATGCCATTCTTACTGCCGTTGAAAGGTGGCACATTCAAGTTAAAAGTTCTGAATTCCCGTTAGATGTGAGAAAAAGAGCGCACGGATAATATCTCCTTCCAAACTCACCTCCCTGAAGGTTCCTGGGTACTGGAAGAATTTGTAAATGAGGTAACCAGGGATCCAGATGAGAGAACAGATGCAGAGGATCCAGCCACATCCTTGAGCCCAGGCAGGGTACACATAAGATTTGTTGTACGTCAGAGGTGTGTGGAACACGATGGCAAATATGACCATGGCCTTAAAAGAGAAAATGAGATTATTTAGGGCGTTGTTAAATCACTGCCAGAAAAAAGTTCAATACAGACTGGTAGGTAAAGAGAACTGATAAAAACAAAAATTTACTTACAAAAGTGAGCAATGGAGTAAGGAATTTCCAGCAGATCATTAAAACGGGGTTAACGGTATAGCCAAGCATCATTGCCATGTTGTCGTAGAATCTCTTGGCACCGTACACCCAGGCGATGACCATACTCTCACAGAAACAGATGGTCAGGAGGATGATACCGCTGGCTGAGAAGGTGTCGAAGATTTGGAACACATACATGCCACCCTGATCGGAAAAAGAGTGACTGCATAAGTACAAAATATAACCCGTGGGAGGATTATAACAAATTCATAATAACATGCAGTAGAATCTCGCTGGATATTAGAGTCATCGTGGATCTTACTGAAAGAATAATATCCTCACCTGCATAACCATGGTGCAGCCAAGAAGGAAGTCAAAGGCACACACACCGAACACAAGAGCTTCACGACGACGGCCAACACGAAGGTAGTCGGGGAACAAGTCAACAATGGCAGTCACAACAGATTCCACCTGCAAGCAACAAACAAATTTGCTTATTTTCATTCTGACATGTTTTCCCCTTAGTAGCATATAACCTTGTGTAGTTGGTGTGTAAGTTTCATTCAGTATCCTATGCTATTTTGGATTATTGAGCAAACTTCCTGCTATGTTTTGAATCAAGTGAAAGGTAAAAATGAAGACACCAACCTGCACGAACTGCGAGTCCAATCCGACCATGAGAATCATGCAGAAGAAGAGGGCAGACCAGAGGGGAGCCAATGGCATGGAGGCCATTGCTTTAGGGTAAGCAATGAAGGCCAATCCGGGTCCTGGAAGGGGACATTACTATTTAGCTATTTCTAAATCAATAGAAGTATTTACTTTTTTATTTTCGTGTTTTTTATTTATTTTTTATTTACTTTTTTGTCTTTGTCGATGCAATAGATGTTTCTCTTTGTAAAAATTGTTAAAACATTGATTTATATCATTTCTACATAAGCTATAAATGGTAACTGACCATTCTATGAACAACCATCAGAGTACTACTGACCTGCCTCGGCTACTTCTGTCATGGGGAGCTCGAGCTGGTAACTCATAAAGCCAAGAACGCTGAAGATGCCAAATCCAGCAAAGAGCGAAGTCATAGAGTTACACACACACAGGAAGGTGCACTGCTTGATGAAGTTGTTGTTGAACTTGTTGTAGGAACCCAGAGCGACCATGCCACCGAGAGCCACCGCGTACGAGTAGAAGACCTGAGTGCCCGCGTCGTTCCACACCTGTTAGAGGAAGAAGAGACTGATGACCGACCTGTAACCTGGCTCAGCGACCTGTGGAGCACATCATCCACATGCCATATGACCAGTGTTTCAAGTATGACATATTTCAATGTCCCATTTTGAGTTTCTATACAAAAGACCAAGATGGTAAACAATGTAGGGCTTCATACTTGGCCGGGGTTGGTCTATCATTAGAGCAGTCACGGTGATGTAGAGGTTCTCCACATTTTTTTTTTTTTTTTTTTTTTTTTTTTAATTGACAACTAGTCCTCAACTGTTTCCATCTTTGACTGTGTCCAGTTTTCTTTATAATAAAAGTGACGGCAGTTGTAAAAGAAAACAAACAAACAAATAATGGAAAGAAAACATTAAAACAAAGATTTTTTCATAAGAAAAGTCACAAAAAGTTTTCCACTGCAAATGCCGAACTGCGAGGGACTACTTGGCCCGCATTGATGTGAGAGAAAGGAAGATGCTAAAGCTTGTAGAACAAATAGAAGTACAGACTTTTGTTTGAATGTTATATACTAGTCGAAAATGACGACTTACGGAAGCGATTACTCTTCAAAGCAAAATTTTTGACCTAGTAAATCAACCTGATTGCAAAACTATGTATTCATTATCGGTACTTACAACATTATGTCTGTAATTCATTTTGGGCTGACAAGCTTCAAGCATCTCCCTGCCCTATCTCTCAAGAGCAGGCCACGCTGCTGTTCTGATTTCTACGTCATCAGAGTGCATTTCTCTCGTGGAAGTCTTCAATAAACAGTTTTCATCATTGTCAGAGACACGTCAGGTTGCAGATAAGGACTAGGTATCAAGGTCTCTCATTAGTTCATAGAGACATGTGCTCGTGAACTGCTCTACAGTATAGCAGACTTGTGCCCGGAAATGTCAGTGCATAGCCAGGAATATGAACTTCAAGCTCAGGAAACGCTTTTCCAAAAACAAAAGACAGCAGCACGATAGTATAATAAATGTGTATATATAAACATATATACTGACAGATCTGAGACACAAATATCGTCATGCCGGACAACTTTCTTCTCATTCTCCCCCCGTCGACCAGGGCTAATAGGAAGACCTGAATCAACAAGTAATCTTAAAAGACACAGCCACTTTCCCCCATCATAGTTCGTGGCAATATCAGAAGGACTGGGTCTGGGTCTGTAGCTGAGCGTTTTGCAACGATGTCCCAGCCAATAATCTAAAATACTATACACAAACATCACATACAATAAATTTGAGATATAAATGAGTAACGAAACATCTGACAGAAAGAGGTGTTGGGGAGGAGACTGGTAATCGATCCATTAACCATAAGTTTTACCTGTTCTTCTTGTTTACCGTTGGCGTAACATTGCAGACGAAACCGCCCCACTGCCGCGACCGAATGCCCTGCCTTTGGTCCTGAAAACACTGATTATTACCTGATATTCGAGGACTTTCTCCCATTTAGGCTCGAGGTAGAATCGGATACCCTCAGAAGCACCTGGCAGCGTTGCTCCGCGAACTAGGAGTGCCGTTAGCATCACATACGGGAAAGTGGCTGTAAAGAGGTCTTGTTAGTCCTGCATCATCATCATATCAAATCACCTCTGGAACAGAATGCTCGTTAATACAGAACGTCCCAGCTCGCTCTTTGTCCCGAGGGGGGGGGGGTAGTCATGTCTGTTTCCGTTAAATGGCAGCTATTTCAAATATGCCAAGTATAGCAATCAGGGAGGAGAGAGAAAAAAATTGGCTGTGACGGATGTGATTATGTTATTTACTCGGGTTACCACCGGGGCATTCGATTTGGAACCTACCTGTGAAATACATGATCTTGCCCGTAACTTTCACTCCCTTCCAGATGGCGAAGTAGGTGAGGACCCAGGCGAAGAGGAGCGTGCCGAAGAGAGGCCAGACCATGGTTCCCATCTCGTCAACGCCGTCGGTGATCTGAAGGACGCGGCGGCTGCAAGAGGCAAGTACGGGTGAGTTTCTGGTTGTCTTTGGATGTAAGCTCTGTTATTTTCGTTTTATTAAGTTGCGGGTTTATTTTTCGTTCGTGGAATTTTTTGTTTTGTTTTTTTGTATTTTTAACTTCGTTTTTCTTCGATAGTCTGGGATGGATAGAGAGAGAGAGAAAGAAAAAGAAAAAGAAAAAGAAAAAGAAAAAGAAAGAGAGAGAGAGAGAGAGAGAAGAGAGAGAGAGAGAGAGAGAGAGAGAGAGAGAGAGAGAGAGAGAGAGAGAGAGAGAGAGAGGGGGGGGGGGTGGCAAAGAGTTTAATAGATATACTAACTAAATTGCACACAAATATTCTGAACAATAAAAAAACAACAACGGATAACAAACTGGCTAAAAAAAGCGAACAAAAAATCTACCTTTTAAATTCCCCTTTCTAAATTTAATTTTCCGGAATATACAATCAGTAATGAACCACCCAACATAACAGACGTAACGAGACACTTACTCCCAAAATTCGACGACAGAATCCTTTGGTGTCTTGTTAAGGGCCTTGATCTCTTCGATGATGGTGTGGTTACCAGCAGACACACAGCAATCAGTGTTCCACCTGTTTCGAAAAAGGGTCGCTTTAAAGTTGCTGATATTTTGGAAGTGTGCACAAGGATTGCCTCTTTATATTACAAACAAAACGGAAAGAAGTTACAACGGTATGCAATGTGTCTATATAACAATCAAAATTTCAACCGGAAGAACTTGAGATAGGAAAAAAAAAATTGTTGCTGTCCTTTCGATTACTTTCTGGTAGTAATAACGAATCTCACGATGTACAGTGAGGTGATAAATGCAGGAGACAGCATAAACAGATAAAGCAGATGACCAGGAAACGTTTTCTCACCAGTTTCCACAAGAGGCCCACGGTAATTCGGCTTGGAAGGAGTAGATGAAGTAATAGAAGGCCCAGGCGATAATCACGATGTAGTAAACGTTGAGCCAGTTACAAACCACGATGGCAGCGTAACCGATACCTGAAATTTTAAGAAAAGCAAATCAGAAAATATATTCACAAGGAAATGCGATGAAAGAATGAAGAACGGGGGAAAAAAGAACAGAACACAGAAATGTACATAGGTAGATAATGAATTTGCCGAAAAAAGAGCAGAGTTTACACGTACCTTGGAAAAGTGGCGACATTTTCCATACTGATATGCCTCCTTCACTCATGAACTGCCCAATGCCCACCTCCAGGAAGAACATGGGCATTCCGCCAATAAGCGCACATATTACATATGGAACGAGGAAGGCAC